TTCGCTCAAAGCAAATTATGATTACCTGATTTTTATTTTTTCGCTCAAAAATAATGATTATTTGATGATTTTAATTTTTCTGCTCAAAGATAATAATTATTATTGACCTTTATTTTTTCACTTAAGAATAATGATCATTCAAAATACTCAAAAGCTAAGCCAGCGTGAATTTCCGACGTATTCTTTTCAGAGGTGGCGACATCCTAATAAAAGCATTAAGTCCCAAAATTTTCAGGTCAAAATTTCAGTAGAATGCTTCTGTATGGCTTTTTTCTATTTTATAAATAATCATTATTTTTTAATTGGAAAAACAAAACTCAATAATAATTTTTATTTCTGAAGGAAAAATAAGAATCATAAAATAATCGTTATTTGTGATCGANGCTGATTTAAATTATTTTACTCATAATGATTGAAGGGACTAAATGTGCCTTAAAGTACCACTAAAGTTCACACCCGTTTTCTCACTCACCTGCTTTTCGCCACCAAAATAGCCTAGAGGATTGGGAAAATTGAATGGCGGCAGCTCCATGTATTTGTTGACCTAAGCAGCAGGGATAGAGAAAGAGACAAGAAAAATAAAATATCACTTAAGGCACAAGCCGGAAGGTTTATTAAGATTAAGATAAGTATTAAATATTTCACGCACGTTTTGCATCCTTTTCACACTTTTCCCCCTATTAGCTTTCTATTAAGATACACATATGTACATACATATGTATGGATATTTATTTGGGGGCATTTCTGCTGACTATACCCGTATTCCACACTCGATAATTGTCGCTTAGATACGGATTAGTACGTGCTTTTATAGCCACAAATATACCTACGAAAAAATGTAAATTAGGCCATATCAGAAAAGTTATTCGCAAGTATAAAGTATTTTTGCCAGGTAATATCGAAAAAAAAAATCCGAAAGTAGTGGTTGCCTTTTTAATTTTTCGGCATATCTTCCTCATTTACGGCTCGATCTTAAAGTATGATATATCGATGTTCTTATCTCGAAAAGATTTTTGTTTTACTCCAAAGTTCATTGACCTCAAGTATCCCGTTCTAGTACTTACCCTTTAGATCTCAGTCCTTATCACCCTAACATAACTAATGTCATTATACTTTTGCTAAAGAAATATTTCTAATCGAAGGCCATTTCGATTTTAACTTTGCCCTACGTAGGGTCTTTTTACATTTTTCATCATAAATATCTTCGGCTTTTACAGTGGGATCTTAAAGTATAATTTATCGATTTTTTTGCCTTGGACAGTTTTTATTCCTAAAGTTCATTGACCGTGTTAATACTTACCCACCATATCCCACTCCTGATCACCCTGATGTCAGTAATTTAAAGCTAACCAAAAATCCTTCAAATCTTGTTAAGAAAATATTTCGTTTATTCCAGTCGAACTATTAAAATAAAAATTTTATTGCCGATTAATGTCACCGCAAAATGTAAAAAAAAAATTGTTTCCACATTTTCTTGCAAAAATACCTTAGATTCAGGGGTGCACGGCGTACTATTTTTCGCTTACTTGAAAGGTGTAACAGCCTAATGTACATACATATTTATGTAATTATGCCTTTAACCAATACACGTTGTCATTCTTGTTAGCATTATTAGCCTCAGTTTAATCAAAATCTTCGTAAATCGTTGACAATCATTAAATTTTTGACCTCAATCATTTCAAAACCCTACCCTCTGAAAGCTTATCACATACATACTAAGCTTTAAATCATCTAAACTTCAAACTGATCAGTACATTTTGCGTATGTTTAGGTGTGGATCAGCTAAGTGGTAGTTATAAAAGTCTAGCTGGTCATACAACAAACACTATATAAATTTATATTTCAAACTTTGTATAAAAATTATAAAAATTCTGCAAATTTTCACCAAAATTTCAAACTTTTTAATCAGAATCTTCACAAAAAGTCTTGGTATGCTGTTTTCAGAATTTTTATAATTTTTGTACAAAAACTTAAATCTGAATTTATTTGTTGTTTGTTGTATAACTAGCTAGACTTAAAAAAATAATAATAAACACTAAATAAACAAAAGACAAATAGCAAAAACTGATCAGAATATCTCGCTCCTAATGTTTTGTGGACCACTATATGTATATGTAAAAAAAAAATAAGAATATATTTTTATGCATAAATAAATAGATTAGCTGAGCACTCTAAGTCCAAATATGTATTTGGCATAATTAGTTTATTTTGCTTTTACAAAGCTGCCAGCTGCAATAGTGAACTTTAGGAATCATTGACATACATATGTACATGTGTATGTATAAGATCTGCAGATGTTAATCTCATTATGTACTTAAATGTGAAAGAACCAAGGAAAGCTCCAAATTTAATACACGCCATGTAAGTATGTAGCTTCACTTTTACCATAAAAGAACTAATTCATCAGTGATCCTCTTAAATCAAAAGTATTGATAACGATTAAATGACCATATGTAAATATGTAAAATATATGTAAATATGTCCATTTCCTAAGCCTCAACCCCTACGTCAATGCTATTTACTATAGTCGAAGATATCACATATAAATTTTGGTCCCGATTGGAGACGGTTAAGGCGTTTCGCACAGGAGGTAAACTTCAAATTCCTCTGTGGAGACTCAAAAAATTAAAATTTATATATTTTTTTTTCATCTAATACCCAAAATCGATACTACCGTAGTCGAAGATATCACATATAAATTTTGGCCCCGATTGAAGTCGGTTAAGGCGTGTCGCACTTGGGTCAGAGGTCAGATTACCATAAGAAGATGTCTTAACAGAGTCCAATCGGGACCGAAATTTATATGTGATATACTCGACTTTAGTAATATCGATTTTGGGTATTAAATGAAAAAAAAAAAAATAATTTTAATATTTTGAGTCCATAGAGGGGCCTTTGACCCCTTTGCAACACGCCTTTACCGACTCCAATNAATTTTAATTTGTTTGAGTCTCTATAGAAGAGTCTGTACTTTGCCCCCTGTGCGAGACGCCTTAACCGTCTTCAATCGTAACCAAAATTTATGTGTGATATCTGTGGCCATTTGGTCATTTGATTTTAAATATCACCCTAATGTACATACATATATATGTATTTAATTATACTTTTTACTTGCACACATTTTTCGCCACTTTAATTAAAATATGTACATATGTAGGTATATGTTCCACTCACCTCCTTGGCAAATTTAGCAAACGACAATGACGCTGTTGGAAAGATGCCCACATATGATTGAAAAGCCACTTCTGCGCTTAAATCGATTTTCTCCAGCAGTAAACCACGCAAATATTTATCCGGATTAGCTGGATCATATTGTTCAATATCGATGCCAACAACAAAATATTCACCTTTGGCCAATAAACCTTTACGTTCCAAACTGACCATCAGGCCAACATGCTCATAGTAGTGGCCAAGTATGAGATAAACTGCAAGTGAGCAAATGGAAAAGGTGCATTATTGCTGTGAAACGGATTTGTTATTAAAGTCAGTATCATTTCATGTACTACATACATATTTACAAAATTCTAAAACTGCCCCATATATTCTAATTATCGAATAAAAAACTCTTTTTTATTAAAAAAAAATATTAACAAAATTATAAGGTTAGATATTATAAAAAAATTGTATTAAAATTTGTCAACCAAAATTTGTTTTAAAATAATTTAAAAGAAATACATAAGTATGTCATACGTATTTATGTTTCTAAAAAAATATTTTAACCCTCTACTGCATGTATAATCATTTTTATTAATAAAGAGATTTAAACAAATTTTCAAAAATATTTTTAACTT